CAACCCCATATGTGGAAAATTGGTTGGAGGTAAGCCCAGTTGAGTTCCCACTCGTGGAGGGATGCGCCTCCCCTGCTCAGAAAGTCTGCATGCACATTGAGCGATCCTGGCAGGTGAGCAGCAATGATGAACACGCCCCGAGACTGACATTCGGTCCAAATCTCCAGGGCCAGTTGACAGTCCCCTGGACACTGTCCCGCTTTGCCTATTCAGGTAGCACAGTGCGGTGGTGTTGTCTGTCAGGATTGCCACTGTACGGTGAGTCACGAGGTGGCGAAAGGATCTTAGGGCATACTGGATGGTGAGCAGTTCTAGGAAGTTTATGTGTTTGTGGGCCACGAGGTTCCCATTTGGTGCCCACACACACACCTGGGAGGTGAGCCCCCCATCCCCACAGGGATGCATCTGTGGTTAGGGTCATTTCGGGGCTGGGTGCAAGAAATGGGGCTCCCTGAAGGAGGTTGTCTGGAGTTTCCCACCACTGTAGGGAATTCAGCACTTGCACAGGTAGCACGAACCATTGAGATTGGAGCTGCCACTGTGGATGGAAACATTTGAGGAACCACAAGTGGTCTCATCTGTACTCTGGCGAAGACAAGTACCGCTGTGGTGGCGGCGTTGGATCTGCTTTGCTGCCGCATCTCCCTGTGTTCTTATCAGGTTGATGAGAACGATAATGTCTCCCACCCTTTTGGGAGGGAGAAAGGCTCAGCAGACAGTCAAATCCAAAATCGCTCCGATAAACTGGACTCTCAATGAAGGAAGGAGCACTGACTTTTTTAGGTTCACCCTCAGGCCCAACGCATCCAGGATGACCAGTGTCAAATCGATATGGTTGAGCAGAGTCTCTCTGGAGTTTGCTATCAACAACCAATCGTCTATGTACGGAAAGATCCGTACACTCTGGTGACGGAGGTACGCCACAATGACAATCATAATTTTTGTAAAGACTATGGGCGCCACTTAGAGTCCAAAACGGAGGGCTTTGTACTGAAAATGGCCTTCTGCGACTGCAAAACACAAAAACTTCCTGTGAGATGGGTGGATAGTTATATGAAACTATGCGTCTTGCAAGTTCAGGGTTACCATCCAGACACCTTCGCTGAGAAGGGGGAGAATGCTTTGTAATGCTGTCATTCAGAATTTCTGATAGGAGATAAACCGGTTGAGTGAAATTATGAAATTGGGGGCCTCAGGTATCTGGATAAATTCTATGAGGTACCCTTTTTCGATGACGGAGAATACTCACCGGTCTGATGCTATTCGCTGCCAAGCAGCCATGTAGGGAGACAGGCGGGTAGGGGTGGGACAACAGGAGTCAAAGGCTCTGCTTGGGAGCTTTCAGAGTCTTAGCCCTAGGCTGAGCGGCAGATGAGAATTTTGGTTTGTGCCCGTAAGGGCGGGAAGACACAGTGGGTGTGCATTGCCACTGTGTTTCCGGGGACGACTTAATAGAAGATCTACAAGATCATGGCTTGTTCCAGGATTTTGCTTTGGATAGTTTAGGAGCCGATGTGACTCCTAAATTCCGTGATGTCTTTATGCTTTTGTCTAGGTTTTGCAGGACCGTATCAGTTGTGGCACTGAAAAGGCCCTAACCCTCGAATGGGAGGTCTTCAATGAGAGCACTGGTGTCCTATGGTAAGGCAGTAGAACGCAACCAGGCATGTTGTCGGAGGGTAACTGCTGAAGTCAGCGTTTTGGTGGCCACATCCAGTGTGTGTTTAGCTGCACTGAGCTGATGCTTGGCCAAAAGCATTCCCTCCTTTTGAATCCTGTGAGCCTAACGGTTAGAGTCCTCAGGGAGGGTTGCAATAAACTCGGATATTTGCTCCCAGAGAGCAAACTGATATCTGCCCATCCATGCAGTATAGTTTGAAATCTTGATGCCAAGTGCTCCAGCAGAATAAAATTTTCTTTCAAATGAATCAATTTTTCTCCCTTCTTTCTCGGGAGGGGTGGAATGACTACATCTGTCTTTGGAAGAAGAGGTAACTACCACAGAATTAGGTTTAGGGTGGTTGAATAAAAACTCAGCACCTTGCTCCTGCACCTTATACATATGATCTACTCTCTGGCTCGAGACAGGGATAAATGCTTGGTGAGACCATGGGGTTTTAGCCGCCTGAAGCAGGACCGATGTCATTGGAAAGGCTATCGGGGTAGAGCTGTCCATCTGTACAATATCAAACACAGAGTCCGTTACAGTAGGGGGGGGGTTGCACCGTTGACAGGGTCAACCTGTTTGCCATCCATTTGATAAAGTCCCCATAAGATTTGAGATCCTCTGATGGAGAAACTGGAAGATCATCGCCCACTTGTTGAGGTGGCGAGGGTTCCACCTGAGGATCGGGGTTTTCATCTCCTGATTGGGAGGATGTGTCGGAAGAATGTTCAGATGGTTTGGAAAAAGGAAATAGGCAACATCGGTGTCAATGGGACCGGGTCCGATGTCGCTTTAAAATTGGGAACTATTGGAGGTGGTGGTTTGGAAGGTTTGCCCATCGGTCTTGATGGCTGAGGCTGCACAAACTCCGGCGTTGGTGGAGGATCTCGATACCAAGAGAGCTGGGAGGAGGTAGACTGACGGTCCCAATCCACCGGCTGGGGTGGGAACCACGGCATGCCATTCAAGAATGGATAGGCCCCATATGTATTTTGCCATTGCCGCTGATTCCAGAGGGGTGGCGGTGGGTGGATCGGTGCCGATGGCTGTTCTTGATCATCGGGTCGGAATGGTGAAGGACGGACAAAGGTGTCGGCTCCATGGTCGGAATGTAGGCTTTCAACACTGGAAGACTGGGAGATTTGTGTCAAGTTCATATTGTGCTCAGAGCCAGTGAGCTGGATAGGACGCAGCAAAGGCGACCGCAGTACACCTTGTGGCTGCTCTCAGCTTGAAGAGTCAAGCGAAGCAGCCCCCACAAGATTTGATTCCATGGCCCTCCGAGGGGTCAGCTGAGTTTGCATAGGTGGAGTTTTCTTATGCTTTTTGTGCTTGACTGGCCGATCGTCCTTGCTTTCCCTGCATTTTTTGGAGGGAGTATGGGCTAAGGACTGAGATGTCTGGGCTGAGCGTTTCAGTATTGGGTGGTCAACTTCTGAGTTAGTCAGTATCGGGGACAATGCAGCCGTCGATGCTGAGACGGCAGTCGACATTGACGCATGCCCCGAAGTGTCCTGTGACGACATCGGTGAGAGCACTAACTCCAAAAGCATGATGCGAAGTCTAGCAGCTCTGTTCTTTCTCGTCTGCTTTGAGAACTTCGCGCAATGTGCACAAGAGTCCACTCGGTGTGATTCCTCAAGGCACAGAAGGCAAAGCGAGTGTCCGTCCAGGGGAGTGATTTTACTACTGCACTTGAGGCACCGTTTAAAGAAACCCCACCTCTTGGCCATAGGCCGGGAGAAGGGGGGGCACGGTCTGTGAAAAAGAGACCAAACAAAGTCCGGGGGGGACACAACAAATTTGTAGTAGCAATGTCCTTTTACTTAATAAAAAACAAGAAAAAAGGTGAAGAAACTTAGAAGAAAAAGAGGAATAGACCTTAAAGCCAAAAGTTTTACCAACCGAAGAGAAGATCCTACCAGCACGGCGGTCAGAAGAGAACTGGCTGGATTGTTGTGCCCCTCCCTTGGTCATGCACAGTGGGGCCGGCGCGTGACTGGGGAGCAGCCGCGAAAATCTCTTTTGCTTTCAAGAGGAACCGATCGAGGTCGGCGCAGGCGCACTATATCCCAGAGGTGTGATGCACAGAGACCACGAAGAAGATCCATAGTTTCTAGAGATTCCTAAAGTGCCACATGCTGTGTATGATGTGGTGATTTTAAAAAGAATCTCCCACTGCCTGAAAGAGTGGCAGCTAGAAGAGAGGGTTGCTGGCAGGTAGTCTTCCACCACAGCAGGAGACCTGCTGACCCTGTGTTGATGAGCCAAATCTTTTCATAACTTTAGGAGAACAACAATCTCTCACTCCACAGAAAGAAAATAACTGTAAAAATTTTTCTAATAAGTACAAAACAAAGGAAAAACAAAATAAACACAATCCTTTCTTACTATGTCTAAAACTTAGCCCTATATGATACTGGATTAAAAGGAAAGCAGAATAATTTTAGATGCCCAAATTGTTTCCATGTGTTTGAGCTGTTTCTCTACAAGTTATTAATCAGCATGTCAGTTAATGTCTATATTTTCAGTTATGCAAATAATGGGCTTTCTTACAGTGGACCTGTTTATCTCTTTCTCTGAATTTTGCTGTAGTTTGTCTTTATATTATTATTTATTTATTTATTAAATTTTTATCCTGGCCAAGGATAAAAGCTGATTGACCCCTAACCTAGGACAGTACCAAAGTATACTGGTAGCATTTCCAGAATGATTCTGACCTCATAACACTTTTACCTTCCAGTTATTATATCAGTAATAGTATTGCCATTGAAAGAAGCCTGCTGACTCAGACAGAGGTCAAGAATGGTGGCTATTATAAGCAGAGTAATCAGAAACACTGTGCATTGTGAGAAAAGGAACCTAAAATGAAATTATACGTGGCAACCCATTAATTTTCCAGCACGGCCAATAGGTGATAATATGAGATAGTGTAATAGGCAGCAGGGTAAAATCTGTATCAAGAAGTTCTTAGCATGCTGCATTTTGATTTTGGTGGTGATCTTGAGGTGTCATAAGACACACATGCACCTCTGAATTACAGGCATCTAATAGTTCCCTCATAAATCTTATCAGAAACATTTTCCAAGAAAGCTCATGCAACTGATCAAATATGCTTTCTTTGATAATCATCTGAACAGGTAACCACAATACCAAAAATGCAGTGTATATATTTAATTACCATAATTACATTACAAAATATAGGCCGCAGGAGTGAATGAGTACACAGAAACACCAAGAATACCTGAAAGGTTATTTAAAGTTATATTTAAACCCAACTAAAATATGTTTTTCATCACCTTAATCTTTCACCTTTTGTTGGGAAACATATTACCTCCAGCACAAGTAGCAGAACATTCTGACCAAGGTAGGTGATTCCATGCAAAACTGACTTCATTGTCACCACTGCCAGTGCGAGAGATGGGAACATTGAATTTATACCTTATCCCCAGGTTCTGCTCCTGTAGTAAAATCTGCAGTTGAAAATAACTGGTTATACCATTAAAACACTTGGGAAGAGGACAATAAGCTTTAAAGAAAGGCTGAATGTTACTATAACTTTGCTTCTAGGAAACAGTTTTAAAAAATAGTGCAGATGTTTTCCAGAGAGTAATTACCTCAGTCCTTCCCAACAACTGAGTAGACTACCGTTTTCAAATGGTGCTTTGCATTAAGCAAAGTCCTTTACGTCTTGCAACTGAAGAAAGGAGATTATTCTTGTGAAAATCTCCATGCCACAAATATTTATATAAAGCTCCCCTCTTTTTTGAAGCTGTTTGTTATGGTTGCAGGCCCATTCTGTTAATGTATGTTTTATACTGCTGGTCTATGACTGTAATAAATGATTGATTGATATGTTGCAGGAGAACTGCTGTTTGAGAAATACGACTTTAAAGCCGTTTGGAAGAGGGGTCAAAGGAAGAGCAAAATCATGCTGTAGGGAGGATAACACTTGTGCCTGACAGAGGCCAAAACTCACAATCAAGAAATTGGATTGACATTTTAAATTTAAATTAAAAAACCCCACATTTCTATGGTTGAGGTCACACGTGCCAGAAAAAACGGGGGGGGGGGGGGAGCACGCATATTTGGAGGAATTTGACCCGCAGTTGCGTAATCACACAGCCCTAGGAAGCTGGGGCCCCGCCCCGCCACTGCATGATCAGACACAACCGCAGGTGAGTCGGGGTTTTTTTTTTGTCGTTTGTGTCCGATGCACTTAAACGAGGAATCAATTAATCGCATCTCTGCACTGAGGGCTCCCTATGGAGTTTTCGATGATGTGCATACTGAGGGGGGGGGACTACGGCACGGAGTCAGGATGGACTGATCAGACCAGACCATTCTGACGTCATAAGAGCGCACTGGAGCAATCAGACAGGGGAAAGTCTGTCTGTGGCCCATCGCAACCCGTTTTCTACCGGATCTTCCCTGGTGTCTTTTAACTCCGCTCCTGCAGCAGAGCAGAATGGGTTGCTGACAGCTGTGGGGCACTTCCCAGATGTCGTTGTCTGACCGTGCCCTTTAAATCCGCCCAGCATTTGCGCCTATGGCAGGTCAAATTATGCGTATGATTGCAGCCCAAGTGGTTTTTAAAAAAGAATTCCAACACTAGCTTGCCAGACAAGAATTCACATTTATGAAAAGGCAGTTAAATTACTTTACCATGACTATGAGGTTTTCTGAGATGGGTCCTAAAGCTTCCAAAGATTCTGGTTCGTCTGCTGGTCTCTTGTAATGGAAAGCTGTTCCAGCAACATCGAATTTTCTAGGCCAGTCAATAGTCCAGGCACCATTAATATAATAGTCATCCTCTTCTGATTTTAAAGCTTTAAAAGAGTACAAAATACTTAAACATATGAAGCAGCAAATATGTATAAGGAAGGATAATGTCAATGAGTAACGCGTTGACAGCAGCATGTATTCCAGTTTTTAAAATAAATCTCCATTTGTCTCTTATAGATTATAGATCTCAGTGAGCTAGACTCAAGCCTCTATTGGGCAAATGAAAGGCACTTCATATACAGAAGAAGGAGGTAATTTCTGACAATTTCCCCTTCCTACTGCAGCACCCTGTTCTATGTCCTCTGTTGTTCCCAAGAGTCCTCCAGCATCCAGGAGCAGCATTGAGGGTGGGGGCAGGAGGCTGAGATACAAAAAGGGGATGTAGCAAAGATCTGTCCCATGAGCAGAACCTCAATTGCAGTTCACTGGATTCAACACAGTGTATACATTGCACATAAATTCGTATCAAGACAAAATATAGTATTTCAGGACTTCCCTTAAATATTGGCTCAGATGATTAAGAACACAAAAATGGTATAGTGTAGAGTGGCAGAGGGGACCGATTTGCCTAATGTTCAAATTTTATGGTCACTATCTAAATATAAGCTAGTTTCTCATTATATAAATTTTAAAATATCTGAATTTCAGAAAACCTCCAATTTTGGTAATCAAAATTTAAATTTGAAAATAATATTTTTTTATTTTTAAGATGAAATTATAACTCTAAATCTCAGTACCTCAGAATTGTTTGAATCTTTATACTATAGTAAAATGGACTATGGCTAAGCTCAATCCTTAGTAATGTGAAAGTCAAAGGTGTTTTTTAGTAGTATGCTGCTAAGTATAAACCTAGGTGCTCAAGCTTACATGAGAAAATTTCAGTGCACAGAGGTTGTGTTTATCGATGAGTAAGATGTTACGTTGATGTTTTAAAATCTACCCTTTTTTACTACTGGAATCATATTCTTTGGCTTACTTCTTTCTTAAATACAATAAAATTTTATTGATTATTAAAAAAAATCTCTCAATGGCTTTCATTTTGGCAGGCATCAAATATGAAATCTCAAACTGCCTGCCTGTAAAATACTTTGTACCATTTCATGTCTTCTTTCCAATGCCATTGCATACTAGCTATTAAATACAATCAAACATTAAATACTACTAATATGCCAATAATCAAATACATGTCGTACAAATATGAATACCAATGCATGTCAACCAACAAATAATAAAGAGTACTAAATAACATCTCTAACTTAAATATCAAATACTGAAATTTTACACCACTGGATTCAACTATGTTCAGGGTCTATTCAGAAAAATTGTAAGTATTCAGAGAATGCTAAATTAAATTTACAAGAGGAGGATTTTGAGTAGGATTTTTAAAAATAAATTTATTTTCGCTCTACTTTCTAGCATGGTTCCAATTTAAAAAATTGAGTGGAAAAGTACTCACTCAATCTTTAAATGCATGTACACACTCAGGACCATTCCTTTGCGAACACCTAAATCCTTGTCTTCCGCAGTATGATCTATTTTTAATTTTTTAAACAATGTTACTTTCCAGATAGATTGTACATGTTTCTAGATTATTCTTTTGTGGGTGTAACCATGTAACTCTAGCTGTCCAATTAAAACAATTCTTCTAGTACTTTGTAAGTTTTGGTATACATTTTACAAGAAAACAATTACATGGATTAAAAATATACATGTTCCCTTGTCATCTAGGGTGCAGTGTTGCTGAGCAACAGGGGATTTTGTTGTTGTTGTTTTTTGCTATTACAGTGCGTGTCATTGTGGCTGTGGATAGTCTAGCTCAGGGCTTGACAAATTTTCTTTGGCTCTACGAGCCAGCCCTAAAACCTAGAAACCAAACTTGTTTTTCAGTCTTCAGAGTTTTTTATGCTAATTACCATATTTTATAATTATTGCTACCACAAAACCTAATTCTAACTTCTTCACAGTTCCTTATAATGTTATTAAAGCTATGTGTAAATAAATATAGGGATACCCTGGTTGTCATCACTACTACAAAAAACTAACCCTTAACCCTAGCCTAACTTTCCCCTTATTTCTTCCATTATTGCTTTAAAAGCTCCATTTAGACCCCGGTCACACGGGAGGTTTAGCCCCGCAAGAGGGATGGATCAGGGGCGCAGCAAACGGGCGCGATCACACCGCAACATCTGGGAAGCGGCGCCCACCTGTCCCCGATCCGTCCCTGAAGGCCGATAACGCACAACAAAAAAGAACCTACAAAAGAGCAGTACCTACCTGAAACGCCGCAGCAAGCGCGGCCGTGGGATCGCCGGCGCGCCTGTCTTCAGGAGCATTCGAGGTTCCCGGCAGAACTGCGCATGCGCACACATGCGCAGCCGGCTGCCTCGCTCTCCCTTTCGTGGCTTCCCCCCGGCATCTGATGGTGCCGGGGAGCAACTGCGTGGCGACTCAGGGGATCTGTCTGATCCCGCCACCGCGTGTCTCTTTTGGTGCGGCTCTAAGAAGCCGCACTTTGGCCACGTCATTTCCCCCCATGTGGCTGGGGCCTAAAGAGCCAGTCTAGAAAGCAACTGGTTAAGGAATGAATTCATCCACCATCACTGAATGGTGTAAACAAGAACTTCATGCGCATGTATTTTTATGCCATACAACAAAATATATTCTGATGTGAAAAAGCTTTGAACTCCTCACTGAGAGACACTACAATGAAATCACTGCTAAAAATACTTGGCACGACAGTGAAATTTCTAGGTGCCATGGCGATCTGGTACCTGGGATTTGTCAAGCCCTGGCCTAGCTTGGGGCCCCAGTCCAGTGAAAAACACTTGTGTTGATTGTGTTGAAAAACACTTGGATGCAAAGTCATTATATAACTGCTCTAAGACAAAGAAGATTTCAGATAGCACTCAGCGTTTACTATATCATTGAAGAACAGGAGCGATAGGCAAGATCACCAAGCAAAATTATTCATTTTATTCACCTTTTCCCTTTTTGCTGTATGACCCTTGGTTAAATGTTAGTATTCCCATCCACCCTTCCCATTTCTCAGGCTCTATTATTTTATAGTTTATATTCACAACACTGCCAGTAACTTGCAGATAAGATATGGCATTCCTCTGAATCAGTTTTTCAGAATCTACTAATGCAAGCGTGTGCCACTGCTCTCAAGTTGAACTGTCCCTCACAGCTTTTCATTTCCCTGCTTATTGCCCTGCTGCCTTCCCATACCAGTTTCCCCATTTTCACATCCTATGCTTGTTAGCATTGGATTCCTTGTTATCTGGAGGACTGTGATTCACACCAACAAATTGCATAAGTACCAGACGTTTACTTCCAAGCAACCCTAATGAAGTTTTTATATTTAACAAAAAAGTATCCTCTTACCAATGTAGTTCTTTGACACTGCTACTTCTTTGATTTCAATGTGAACTGAACCCTTTGGAATTTGAACTACTTCCATGTAGCCTATAAATCAAAAGTGAACCTTATTTTATTATTAATAATCTACACTTATGCTTGTTTCTAGGAACGGCAATATAAAACAGAAAGGATTCATATGGTCTGAACAGTGTTTCCTACTACAATGAATATACATACTAATGATTCTGCCATGTTAAATCACAGAGTTGAAAGAAAGTGAAACCACGCCAAATCCAAACTCCCAAATTAATTTATGGATCCTTCCTCTTCACTGTTTAAATCACACTTCATGATCAAACCGCAGAATTGTGAAATACAACAAATAATATTAATTATACTACTAATTTAATCTACATTTACTTTTTTTTGTATAACTATTCATTTCATGGCAAATCTTCCCTTATGGCTGTTGCAGGAAATGATCTAAGGAAGGAGAGATGACAAACAGTTGAGTGAAAAGCAGACCACAACTAGGGATGGGCATGAACCATAAAAACGTGGTTTGGTTTGTGGTTCACCCACGAACTGAACCACAAACCCCATAAACGCAGTCGACTTGCAAGAAAGCCCTTTTAAACATCTGAGCTGCAGAAGCAGTTTATTCCATGCAGCTCAGCTGTTTAGAGCCTGAAACAGTTGAGCTGTGGGAGCAGGCTGCCCCCCATGGCACAGCTATTTCCAGTGGCTTTTGCGGGGAGGAGAAAGCAGGGGTTTAAACCCCTGCTTTTTGCTCCCCACAAACCTCTGCAAACTGCCTTAAAAGTTCATGGATGTTCATGGCCGGGCTGCAGTTTGCAAACTTCAGTTCAATTCGCGATCCATGAACCCATAAAAACTGATCACGAACAAAAGTTCATGAGCCGGTTTGTGCCCATCCTCAGCCACAACTGCATTAAATGTTAACTAGAAATAGAAACAGTTCATAGAGGAGCTAGCAGAAAATCTGTAACATCCAGCCCAATTGCTGGGTAGGTCATTATAGCAGAGAATGACATCAAGGGGAAATCATTGCTGCCTTTAGTCACCTCCTATACATCTCACATGAACAAGATATGACCTATAATTTCCAACTCACCTCCTCTTGGCAATGTATCATTGAAAAAGCCTTCAATAGATTCACATGTACTTCCATCTCCTCCACACACCCGGCACCTGTCTTCTTTAGCATCAGATCCCAAAATATTGTCACATCCAACATGCTGAAAATTAAAAAAGGAGTTCTTTTTTTAAAAAAAAGAACTTTAAGGGTGAATTGATTGCATTACTTCCAATTATAATTGTAATTGAATCTTAGTTGCTTTCCATGTATTTTTCTATTTTATTGTGCTAATAAAGAAATAAACAATGCCAGCTTATTACTCATATTATGGGAATAGCTTTTTTAAAATTTTAGAATTATCTGAATATCATATTAAAGGTGATGAAAATGTTGATTATAGTTTTAATATTTTATTTGTATTCCATTAGTATTTAAATATTTAGTAAGAATAAAATTTAGATTTAGACAAATGATTAAGACCATAGTCAGGTTTTGACGATGATGTAATTATAGCGTGGATGCCTGTTCAACTGCTAAAGATGTAATCTTTTTATTGTTAGGATTATTGCTAACATTAGGTAAATTTTTGTCTGCTTCTATATTTGAAATATGTAATACATCCATTTGATTTTACTTGTTGTATATTATTTGATAAACTTGATGAATCAATATTTTCCCCTGCCCCCTCTTCCCTTCTGTATCCCATTTTTTGAGAAAATAAAAAGAAAAGAAATAAACAATGACAAGATAAAATGACAATGATAAAATCAAAGGAATTCTCTTACACAGTGTCTTACACCTGAACCTTTCTGTGGCATATCACTACATGGCTAATGACAGACAGTATACTATGTCACAGCACAATGTATGTTATGCTTCTGTAACACTGCAGTGACGTAAGGTGGAGCAAAATAAAAACTAAGTTCTTAGTTGCTGATACAGCAAAATTTATGATCAGTTTGTTAATTTTTTTTAGGAAAAAACAAAACTAAAACCAAGAAGTGGTTTAGTTATCTCTTTTCCTGATATAACGCTAATCTTCATTAAAATACACAGATAGACACAGGAAGCGAGAAAGAATGGATATATTTGGAACACAATTCAGAACCATGTGTACACAGCATTCCAAAGACATTAAGTATGACCATTATACCCACTTCAAGTTTTTGATAAAGTAAATAAGGAAGACTGGCAAAAGAACTGCTAACACTAAAACTCTGTGAAAACAAAGGATGAGTACCACAGACAACTCTTGAGCCAGAGAAAATTGTTGTATGGAAATGTTTAAGTTACTTTGTTGTACTGCTAAATAATTCATAGAACTATAAAGATGTACCTTGCATTCGCCATTGATACAAATATCCAAAGAATCTGCATTGCACTGTGTTCCATCAATAACTGCAGGGGCACGTTCAGTGTAAAAATTGTAACCTTCTGCTAAGCAGTTTAGTGCACATGGCTTAACCCCACCTAAACATTTTTAAAAACACAGGATTAATCCTATTTCCAAAGAGACACTCATACATCCATATACTCATTATGTTTGGAGCCCAAAAGTGCATTTTCCATGACAGTCCTGCACTCTTTTCCTAGTCCTCTGACCTCCTCACACTTGCGATACCCTCTTCAGCCTCTAACCTCTCTACTTAGTCCACCTCTCTTGAGCCCATTGGGCTTTGGGTTAGGGACACTGGGAGATTTCAGAATTAGAATTCTAACATTAAAAATAAACTCTTGTTAATTAGTACAAATTAAATATTGGTAATGTCTCATTGGAACCATGTGGCTGCATATTGGTCTAGAAGTTCTGATGCCTTTCAATAAAGAAATATGGACAGACTACATTTACTGCTTATCAGCAGAGGGGAGGAACAGAGCGGTGGTAGTGGACCAGATAAGCCATTTTCTCTCCTGATCTGTTATTTTTAGGCTTTCTTGAAAACGATCACTGAACAAGCAGTCGTGGAAGACTTAAGGCAGAGCAGGAGCAGGTTCACCATGAAAACCAACACAATGTGCACTCTGAGCAATGTGGTTTCTTCCATGTCTGTTGCTTTTGGAAAAGGAACATTAAAGAACACCAAGATTCTCTGGTACTAGATCAAGGATCAAAATGGCGGCTCCTTGTGACAAGCTGCGTATTTACAGTTCAAATGAACCCTAAGATCGCCCTCCTCATGGCAGGGATCTAAATGGTTACAATGGAACATTTCACCATTCCACATTCAGCCTTTAGTTGTCAACACAATTGTGTTATAACACTACGCATGCACAAAAAAAGGAGGTGCCATCCGTGATGAAACCTATGATGGAAAGGCTATGCCATAAAAAATCCTCCCCTTTTCCAAGGAAGGACAGAATAAATGAAGTGGGTTCAGTGGAAATTCAAAAAGAAAAACACCAAAGGAAATGCCCTTTTGCGGAATGGGTACAGCAAAGTTGAAGCAGCAGCTTGGGAATTCTACTTGCAGAAAATCAGTAAGCCCACTGTGCAAAGGTCTGAGTCCGCCCCTCTGAGGCAAGCAAGCAAATGACGTCCTGATAAGGGCTGCAACATGCAATAGCATGGAATAGGCTCCTGGTGCAGCTGAGGAGGCAAGAGCCACCCCTTCCAGTAACACACCTGCCACACCCACGGCCTGACTCCGGCAGGACCCTTCACACAGATCAAGCAGAAGTAATTTGCATATGAGTGCTGGCTAAGGCCTGCTGAGTTATGCACAGGGCTGACCACTGGCTCATCATGACTGCCAGCTCAAATCCAAGCTGAACACGGTGGCAGTGCACGAGGAGTCCTTATTCCTGGCACCTGAATACAGATGCAAAAAGCAATGAATATTCTTTCCAACATCTACCAGTACACATAGAGGCTTCTCCTATCTATAGCTGGATCATACCCATTATTATCAAACTACAGATTACCTCCTGTATAGGGCTTCCAGTTGTAATATTTTCCTCGGAATGGCATATTGTCAAAGTCTGCACACTGCTTCTCTCGAAAATCACGGGCCCCAAAAGGACACGGCTAATAAAAATTAAGATAAAATATAATCTCGATTAATGAATATTAAGAAGTATCATTTATTTACTTTGTTTATACCCTGCCTTTCTCCCCAATGGGATTGTATCATCATCCTCTCCTCCATTTTATACTCACGACAACCCTAATAGGTAGGTTAAGCTGAGAGCGTATGACTGGCTCAAGATTACCTAGCAAGTTTCCATGGCAGAGTGGGGATTTGAACCTGAGTCTCTCAGATCCTAGTCTAATCGCTACACCTCACTGGCACGACTAAAAATGGGTTCAAAGAATTTCTGTGTGTCAGGATCTTTAGCATTTTATTTTAAATTAGTGGCTTCTACCATGGTCTTGACAGGGCCATTAGCTGGGATCTTAAAACTACCCAGCGCTTTCTGGAGGCTGGCTGAATACATTAGTCTCTGTAGGTAGACCACTTAAACTGACCCCTCACTCCTGCAGAGGATTGGCCTTGAAGAAATAATAGTCAGACCATGGCACAAGGTAAATCTCCAATCCTCAGAGTAGCCCTGCCCCCACTGATTCAGAGCAAAAAATTGGTTTTAAGTATATCCTTTGTCATGATCACATGAAACGTCCTTATACTGAATCAGGCTATCTGTCCATCAAAGTCAGTATTGTGCAGTCAGTCTGGCAGCAGGTCTCCAGAGTCTCAGGCAGAGGTCTTTCACATTACGTCCTACCTAGTCCTTTTAACTGGAGATGCCAAAGATTGAACCTGGGACCTTCTGTATGTCGAGCAGATGCTCTACCATTGAGCCACGGCACCTCCCTCATCATGCACTGGGCCTGTCATTCAATTCTATCTTATTAGCCATCATACAAATATTAAGCAATCCTGTGTATTGAATTCTGTTGCTGAGTCAGAAAATAATAGTGAATAAGTTACACTGACTGTAGACAGAACAGATAGCTGCTCAAGCAGAGAGAACTAATCAAATCACACAGATGATAGGAGGAATACCTGATGTTACTTGTGGCCTCTGATACCTTTGTTTTCTAGTTCATTAATTAATTGAAATGTTTCTAAACCTAAAGCCGTTTATAGCAGGTTATAACAGAAATCTATACCAATTCAAAATTTAAAGCCCCAAACAACCAAAGTAAAACTAAAATAAAAATAAATAAATAAAATGCAAGACCTAGCAACTGAATTGTACACACTGTCATTGGTTTGGTCAACTATTCATCCTGTTATCCTCAGTTTTACCATCAGCACACATGTTATCAATCAAATAACGTCCTGAAAAATCTTTGATCAAAAATATATCTGCTAGGAGTTGTCTGTGTTGATTCCAAAACGATGGAAGGGTTCAAAGAAAAGGCAAAGAAAATAAATTCACTGTTGAAGCAAAAGAGCAGCCAAAGGGGAATTTTGTTTATGAATTGTAAGAACCTTAGGGAGTAATTCTTGTTAAATTAGAAAAATAATACTGAATGCTGACACAAGACAAAACCCTTCAGAAATCAGTGGGTGTAAGCAACACATTTTTCATGTAAATAATGACAAGCACACAAAAACTGTGGCCTTTAATGCACACATTAATCAAATTTCTCTCCCTCCAAAGAGTGATGAGTAATAAGAGATTACATAAATTCTGAAAATGAGTCTGTCTCAGCAATTTTGTGCTTCATGAAACACAAATTAATTACTTTACAACCAATGGCTATGATTTTTAATCACTGTTAGAGGTACAGCACAATTCAAATTGCTGGACGTCAGATTACTTTTATATTTTCTTCATGATGTACTAATTCAAAACATATATACACATTTAAAATGAAATGCAGACCAAGCACTTTTAAGAAGATGAGTATTAAAAGATAAAAGGTTTAAATTCTTTAACTAGGGAAAACATTAACTGACAGTATACTGTTGAAGCTTTCTTTAAAAGAGATAGCTTTTGGTTGTCCTCATGCTTTCTCAAACATCCTAGGACCATCCTTAGCTTCTACACAGCTTTTCCATGTGAGAAACTCTCTACAAGTAGCACACATTCCAGTCTTCCAGCACTGGTACTTGATATATGGCTTCATACTTGGAAGGCGTCAAATTTGTCAGGGCTTTCCTTTGCAATTTCTATGTTAGCACATAACTAAAACAACAGTCTCTGAAGAAACTTGTAATACTGGGGTGGGGGGACTTAATACAGTTAGATTTAACATTATATGCTACCTCTCCAGAGACTTATTTGGGGTGGTTAACAAAGTATAAATAAATAAATAAAATAGTCAAAACCATCCATAAAATAATGATAAAGCCCCTGTCAAAGGGCATAAGCAGCATAAAAATAGCAACAAGACATGCCAGAACTTAAAAACAACAGTCATAAAACAGCAGTATGAAGGCCATTAAGAGATTTAACTTTGAATTACTCACATCAGTATTACAGGATCGGTATCTTTTCCTTTCTCCAAGGCAATATTTTCCTCCACCTGAAGGTCTGGGAGAATATATAAGTCATATGAATATTTATATAAAAAAGAAGTAACCATTAAAAATTAATAGAATCATCAGTGCTTTAACAACTTGGTTCCAGTACAAACTAATGATGTACCATGTTTTAGCATCAGGGTAAGATAAATTAAATATGGAGAATTGAGGTTCAAGAACAGTCTGGTGTTCTCTGATGAATAAATGCCTGCTTCTAAATTCAATCACACAACTTTATATCTGGCAAAATAAATCATGTTGCTTGTAGGAAATCTCATCTCCAGTCTGTACTGGAAATGAGCTGGGGGGGAGAAAAAACAGGGGGGGAGGCTATTTCTTCCGGAAGAATTTGATCCGCAGTTGCACAATCACACCGCCCTTTAAAGCTGTGGGCACAGTCCGTCAGTGTGTGATCTGACGCAACTGCGTGTGAGTCCTTTTTTGTGTGCTGTTTTTCCCCCATGCGCTTAAACGAGGGATCGATGAATCGCACCTCCGCACCGAGGGCTCCCTATGGAGTTTGTGATGATGCACATACTGTGAAGGGGGGAAAAAACAACAGCACGGAGTCAGGATGGCCTGATCAGACCATCCTGATGCCATGAAAGCGCGCTGGAGCGATCAGACACAGGAAAGTCCGTCCATGGCCTGTCGCAACCCGTTTACTACCGGGTTTTCCCCGGTGTCTTTTAACTCTGCTTCTGCGGTGGAGCAGACTGGGTTGCCGATGGCTGCAGGGTGCTTCCCAGATGTTGCTGTCTGATTGCACCCTTTAAACACGCCCAGCATTCGCACCTATGTTGTGTCTAATCGCAGCCTCAGAAGGTTACCATTCTACAAGATACCATGAATCCATTCAGTTGAACAATGTACATGCCTTTACTAATAGAAACAACTGAGCCTAAATAACTGTGTTTAACTGAATGTAGTTAATTAATTTCATTTTATTTTTATAGTGCATGGAATGGCTATAAAGAGCTAGAAAGCTGATTCAGTTAAAATTTAATATATTTTTGTGAAATCCTCATTTTGTGGATAGTATTAGCCATGTACAAACACCTTTTCAAACAATTCTAGTTGTTCAAAATGAATTTTGGATATGTGTCTCTTTAATAGCAAAGACACTACATGGCAAATAACTTTCGAAACTGAGGGAATATCAGAAATAGTTTGTGATACTGTATTGGGGGGGCTCAACTTTGTATTAGGACTTACATGTTAAAATATTTATTATTAAGCAAGCTTGGGAAATACCATTATTTCTCAGTGAGCAGCTGACATCGTAGATTTCACAAAATTGTATGGTTAAATTGAATAACCTAGGTTAACATTTTGCTATGAGGAAAAATTGGCCATATATACTACACAATGTGATATATAATCACGGCCTCAGATTTCTAGACCATGGTATTTCATACATACCACCACATTATGGTTATAACTATTCTGTATTAACATGGTTCCATGAATATGGTTTAAAATGCAACTACACATTAAACTACCATTAACTAGTAACAATTTTACTCTCTTCTTTAAAGGGATGCAGCCCTAATTAAGCATTTTTAATAGCTCAATCCTAGGCAGTATTATACCCTTTCAATGGACTCAAAATGCAATCCTAAACCAAGTAATATGCTTCTACATCAAGTGAAATCACTGAATTTTGAAGGATAATGTGCTGCTAGGCAAGTGCAAGTCTGCACAGGATTCCAGTGCAAGTCTGTTCATTTCAATGAATGAAAAGTATATACCAACCACTTCTTCACTGAAATGAATGGGACTTAAAAGGACTTAATTGGGACTGGATTGTGTTCTTTTTTGTTAAATGAAAAATGGTTAAGAGCCTATGGGTCAGACATGTCTTTTTTTGAGAAAGTTACTACCTTGCTAGATAAGGGGAATGCTGTAAACATAGTTTATCTTGATTTCAGTAAGGCTTTTGATAAGGTTCCATATAATATTCTTGTTGACAAATTGGTAAAATGTGGTTTGGATCCTATTACTGTTAGGTGGATCTGCAATTGGTTGACAGATTGCACCCAAAAAGTGCTTTGTGAAAAATGCTTACACTTCAGTAAGATTGAGAGGGTAAGAGAATTGGATTTGCTTCTAGAAATGCTATGGGTTGAAATAGTGGGCCCAAAAGGAAGCTTAACACTTGGAGTTTGTTATTGCCCACTAGATCAAAAGGTAGAGGAGGATTATAAAATGATGAATGAATTAAAGATAGCAGCTAGATGAAATAACTGTGTCGTAATAGGTGATTTTAACTACCCACACATTGATTGGATCAATATGTGTTCAAGTTGGGAAAAAGAGATTGAGTTTCTAGACACTCTAAATGACTGTGCTATGGAACAGATGGTCACAGGACCTACCAGGGGAGAGGCGAGCCTAGATTTAGTCCTAAGTAATGCCCAAGACCTTGTGAGAGATGTAAAAGTGATTGCACCGCTTGGGTACAGTGACCATAATGTTATTGAATTCAACATTTGTATAAACAGGGAGTTGCCCAAAAAGACTGACACAACCACTTTTAATTTTAAAAGGGGTAACTTCTCTGATATGAGAGAACATGTGAGGAAGAAACTGAAAGAAAAAGTAGAAAGGGTCAAAACCATTGGGGAAGCTTGGAGATGATTTAAAACCACAATCCTAGATGCTCAGAAAAAATATATACCGCAGGTTAGGAAAGGCACAAATAGGTATAGAAAAAAGTCTGCATGTTAACAAACAAAGTAATGAAAGCTGTAAAGGGTAAGAAGGATTCATTTCAGCGATGGAAAGCTAATCTCAGTGAGGTCAATAAAAGGGAACACAGGCTGTGGCAAATAAAATGCAAGTCTGTGACTGGGTAGGCAAAAAGGGAATATGAGGAGCATATAGCAAAAAACATAAAGACCAACAATAAAACGTTCTTCAAATACATTAGAAGCAGGAAACCATCCGGGGAGGCAGTGGGGCCCTTGGATGACCAAGGGGTAAAAGGAATACTGAAAGATGATAGGGAAATGGATGAGAAGTTAAATGCATTTTTTGCCTCTGTCTTCACTGTGGAAGATGAGAAGTGCTTGCCCACTCCAGAACCACTGATTTCGGGAGGGGTGTTGAAAGACCTGAGTCAGATTGAGGTGACGAAAGAGGAGGTGCTACAATTGATAGACAACTTAAAAACTGGTAAATCACCAGGTCCGGATGACATACATCCGAGAGTTCTGAAAGAACTCAAATGTGAATTTGTGGACCACAGGAATTACGGTTGTCCATGTCTATGATCAACTTGGTTGCAAGATACATTTTTCTACATGAGTGCCTATTTGGGGATGGCTGGAACAGGTTGTGTATGAATAAGTTTTGTGTGTACCAACCCTAAAGAGTTTCTTGCTGCTTTTTGGCTCCAGTTTTAAGAGAGCAAAGAAAAGCTAGATAGGGCACTTAGGAAGAGAGTAGCATGGCATAAAGAAGCAGGAAAGAGATGCCCAGATGGACTGGGGGACACTAAATAGGCTGGCAGCAATGTGAGAGCAAAAGCAGACATTAAAGACTGCAGGACAGTTATGGGTACTGAATGGCCAGTGGCTGCAGGCAGGCATAACCCATCCACAGCCTGGCTGGTGAGCCTTCTGCAATTGCATCCCTAAGGCCCCAGTCACACGAGAGGATTTGCCCCACAAAACGGATGGGTTGAGGGCGGATTAAACCGGCGCGATCAGTTGCCAGCATCTGGCAAGTGTCACGCCCAACCCGTCACTACCGGCCGAAAACACGGATTTAAAAGAGACCTGAAAAAGACTACTACTTACTGGGAAACACGCAGCATGGGCAGCCATGTGATCACCGACGCGCCCATATCCCGTGGTATGCGAGGCCCTGCCACATTGCGCATGCGCACAACTGCGCAGCTGCCTTGCCCTTCATCCCATCGCTTCCCCCTCGGCATGTGATCGTGCTGAGGAGCAAATGTGGCGCGGCTCAGGGGATCTGTCTGATCCCGATGCCGCGCTTCAATTTGCTGCGGCTCTAAAAAGCTGCACTTCTGCTGCGGCTTTTCCCACTAGTGTGACCGGGGCCTAAGTTTCACCCTGCATTGATGATTCCTGCTACATAAATGTTTGTGGAAAAGGCATCTGCCAAAATGAGCAAGGAACTACTACCTCAATGAAAAGTCAAAGTAGAATTGCATGTTATTAACGAAAAACAGTGAATTAGAGTGTGACTGAAATCTGACTTTTTTCATAGTTCAGAATTCACAAACTCAGCTCTTTTTTTTGGTAGACTCAGTAACAGCAATATATATATTGTATATATATATATATATTGTGTGTGTGTGTGTGTGTGTGTGTATGTATATACTAGGGAGCAAAGACCATTGTGGACGAAGACAATGGGCCCAAGAAAGGTAGGGTGGATGGGTGGTAGATAGATAGGTAGATGGATAGATAGAGGGGTTTGGAGAAAGAGAGGAAGGAAGGTAGGAAGAAAGAAGGGTGAGGGGGAGAGAGACATAGACAGACAGACAGTCAGTAAGCCAGACAGAGAGGGAGGGTGGGATAAAGGGGGGGGAATCCACCCACGGCGAGTGGTGATGAGCTGCTGCCGGCGGCGGCTTTCCACTGATTCCCTCCAGCCCTGTCTATTTGGGCGGGGGGGCAGTCGGGCGGCGGCGAGCGGCTTATCGGCGGCGGCGCTCTTCAAATGCTCCCCGGTCCCACTCACCCACCAGGTGGTTGTCAGCAGTAGTCTGACATCTGAGGGGACCGGCTGCAGAGGCAGGGCTACAGCCTTTGTGTTCTGAGGTGGGACTTAGGCGACATGGCCAATGGAAGCTGGGGAATCTTCTGACGGACAGCTCGACCCTCCAAACACTGTTGGTGCGCATTTTCTCTCCGCTGCGTGACGCAGCCTTTGTGTTCTGAGGTGGGACTTAGCCGACACGGCCAATGGAAGCTGGGGAAGCTTCTGACGGACAGTTCAGCCCTCCAAACACTGTTGGTGCGCATGTTCTCTCCGCTGTGTGATGCTGCGTCTTACTCAATTATATATAAGGGAGATATATATATACACACACAGCAATATGGTAATTACACATTTCTAATTTATGTGCAGTTTCTTAGCTAGTATTTTCAAGTACTTTTCATTTCTTTCATACCTTTATGCTTTACCTACACAGAAATTAAAGTGCTCAGTAGCTAATTTGCTTCCTGTCTTCTGATGTTTATTGCAATCAGAAGTGAACAAGGGATCACTTTGTAGGATTCCTCATGCTGAAGCTTCCTTAAGGAATCAGGACTATGCCAATAGACTTTTGTCACTGGTCAGAAGATGATGAAGGTAAAAAGATGACAACAGGATGTCATCCTATAGACTCAAGGCTAGTAGAGCTGTGACCATGAAGCCAAGATCTCTCCACATGCCTATAGACAGAAAATTCTGGGACTAACAAAAATATTGAGTTATTAAGAACAATAGGATAAAGTACTTCCCTCAAGAGCAAATCTGTAGCAAGAGAAGAAAAGGCTGTCTTTTTGGAAACATGGATGAAAAAGAAGTGACAAATTTGTAGCTTAAGTAAACAGTAGAAGTCCACACAGGTAATTAGACAAAACACTTTTAGAAAAAGCGACAATGTAGATAGCAGTTTGAAATCATTTTACCCACTGGATGTATTATAAGGCCATCCTAAGTGGAGTAATACCAATCTAAGCCCATTGACATGACTGGATTATGTACGGTGGTCCCGTTCACACGAGGCGATTTGATCGCCGGCGCGTTCTTGCGCCGGCACAACCCCGGTCCGGAGTCGAACTGCGCATGCTCCGACATGTGCAGTTCGGCTGGCTAGGCGTCCGAACTGTGTTTTCTCCCCGGCGTTTGATCGCGCCGGGGAGAAAAGGCGCCGCGGCCAGGGGATCCGTGGGATCCCGCTGCGGCGTCTCAACATTGGTGCGGCTTTTAAAAGCCGCGCCTTAAGAGGCTTTCCCCCTGCCATGTGGCAGGGGCCGGTGTAACTCTATTTAGGATGGCACTGTTAGGTAATCTATAGAAGTGACATTTCCTCATGGGCTGAAAAATTATAAACTCTTGAACAGGTTTAGACTTTAATAAGTTTGTACAATGAATTCTTTTGTATTTGAGTTCCAGAACTATAATTATCTTTTGATGAGTTGCTGCTGATTGTTCCGTTTGCTTTAATGGGATGTTTGTTAAAGAGAATATATTTGCTGAATATTAAATGTAGGCTCTCTGTTTACAGCACATGTTTAATGAATATAGTTTAAAAAGTTGGTGTCTCTAGTAAGCTCCTCTAGCTCCTGGCTGCTTTATAGAAGTACTGGCACGGTAGACAAACATTTTTACAGATAACACATGAAACCACACTCTGAAACATTTCCAAAGATGCTTTTTTTTCTGGCTCTGGCTTACTTTAGCTACTTACGCTGGACTGTCACAGTGTCTTATGGATGATGAGACTCCTCCCCCGCAGGTCCTGCTGCACTCTCCCCATATTGACCAGGGACCCCAACCCCCATCTATGCTCTGGGGCCAAGTGCCAAAAGGTACGCATTCTCCCTGATAACACCACTGAAAAGATTTCATAAAAAACACAGAATTAGCTTTGTACTGATAGAGTTATCATGACAGAAAAATATATGGGTCAGGCATTGACCAATTATAGGCATCAGCATTCGTTGTATAGATAACAGACAGATGTTTTACTTTCTTTAGCCATGTTTAGTCACTGATGAAGTCAAATGCTATTTGTTATTTATCTTTAGCTAAGCTCCAAATTATAAATCCCAACATACATGAGTTTAACAAGACAGTATTTTTTATTCCATACACAACTATGACCTCCCTCATTAAAAGTAACTACAATAACTGAAAATCTTCTTTAGACATTTAGAATAATTTTAATCATGTTTAAGGAATACTCTCAGTTATTCTTAGACTAACAGCTTAATAGTGCAACATGGAAAATTCCCCAGTTAGGAATTTTTATGAGAGTTAATTCTTTTTTAACACCACCCCCAAGCTAAAGAATGGATGATGTTACAATGGAAGTGGAATTTCAAGCAGTATTTCATCTACACTTACACTGCAGACATAATAAAAGTAATGCCAAGACACTAGGAACAGGGTATCAAAAATCTTTACACTCACTGCCCATTCAATTGTTCAGATATGGAATGAAAATATGGGCTGAAATTTTAAAGAGACAATTGCTGAACTTTAAGCCTTGCAATTTGTAAAAGCATAGGACACAGGGTTAGTACGAGAGAAATAACTCTATTAAAACATAATTTGAACTGAAATATTTTATTGAAATCAAACTAAGCCATATCCTGTACTCCTGGTATGAAAGCAAATGAGGCTGTCTTATTTCACTGTAGAAAATCCAAAACAGCACAGAAAATACAAGTTTTGCTGGGGTTTATTTCAAAAATTGAAACTGTTTAAACAGGAATTTTACCTGATCCTCAATTACAGATAGGGTATGAAATATGGTCTTGTTGCAGAATAACAGGTGGTTACAAGAATCTTGGTCTAAACTGTCCCAGTATATGTTTAAGCAAATACTGCTAAAGTCATTGAGAAAAGAAGGGGGATTTTTGCCCATGTTCTTATATTAGTACAATTTATTTAAAAATTGGGTCTATAGCAACAAGGCCTCAGGTATTACAATATGCTGGAAAAGTAGCTACATAATCCAGAACCTCATTTTAATACTTCAATTTGTTTCATCAGCAAATTTATAATCCCAGAAACATAGTTTCAGGTGGGTGGCTATGTTGGTCTGAAGTAGTAGAACAAATTTAGAGTCCAGTGGCACCTTTCAGACCAACAAAGGTTTATTCAAGGTAGAGCTTTTGTGTGCATCCACACTTTTTCAAATACATTGGAATGGAAGGTAAGGTTCAAATTTATAGACAGAGACTGAACAGCAAATTGACATGTAACAGGATGAATATGTTTTAAGATCTGCAACGACAAAACTAAATAACAAGCTAAGGTTATAAAGTCAACAGTTGTTTTGATTTAATTAAGTGGGGAAAGGATAGCAAAGCAATAAATAGGTCAAAATAGGGATAAATGTGCAAAGATATCTTTTCTAATTGTGGGAAGTCAACTAAGATTCTCCATTCGTTTCCTCTCAGGCGTGGAGATAACAGCATTTTTCTTTCTTTCTTTTTTGAGGTGGGTCCAGTGGTATTTCAGCAAAACTCAAATTTCTTACTTGAATGCCACAGGACCAATCATACAAGTAATAATCTAATTTCTGAAGCTCTGGAGCAGTATCTCACAGACCATGCGATGGTCACCTCGAGACTAGACTACTGTAACACTCTCTACATGGGGCTGCCCTTGTTGCAAATCTGGAAGCTGCTGCTAGTGCAGAATGCTGCGGCCAGGCTTCTGATGGGCCTTCCTAGATGGGCACTGAAGGCACTGCACTGGCTGCCAATAGCATACCAAATTTGCTTCAAGGTACTGGTACTCACCTTTAAAGCCCTATATGGCCAGGGTCCGACATACCTGAGGGACCGCCTTTCCCCATATATACCCCAGAGAGCACTATGGTCAGGGTCAGAACATTGATTGGCCCCCCCCCCCAGGTCCTAAGGATGCCAGGCTCGCTACTAGGGCCAGGGCCTTTTCAGTGGTGGCGCCATACTGGTGGGATAATCTCCCAGAAGAGATCAGGGCCCTGTGGGATCTTCTACAGTTCCGCATGGCCTGCAAGACGGAGTTCTTCCACCAGGCTTTCAATTAGGAGCCGCCCTCACCACTACCACCAACATCTGTGGTTATGGGCTGGCCCCGGCTTTGAAACCAAGCCATACCATCGTGTGATGCTAGAAGATTACTTAGTCTGAAATTGTCTGCAGCTACATCATATAGCACGCCATCTCAATTAGCGACGGAATGTTTAATACCACTAGCACTTTATGATTACCTGAATGTTTTAAAATGTTTTAAATGTTTAGGTGGATTTTATGGTACCTTGTACCGATTACTGTAAGCCGCCCTGAGCCTGTTCGTGGGGAGGGTGGGATACAAATGGAATAAATAAAGAAATAAATAAGAAAAGGTTGATGAGAGAAGTTTTGCACGGAGAAGAAACATTTGAAGAACAAGAGTTACACGAAAGCAGCATGTTCTTCCTCATGGTCTCTGCTTGGAAGTTTAACATGTTCATTTACTAAAAGGCAAGAATAGCAGAATGTCAAAAGAACAGGCTGTTTTAACAGCTTTCATTTTCTCTGGCTGAGATATCCAAAGCAGCTTTGCTAAGGTACTCTGTAGATATCCTAAATATTGGGTTGGATCCAATGTGCTGACTTTTGCAATTACCCCTACCTGTTGCAGCCTTAAGTACCCCTCCCCAAATTCTGCTCCTGGGGGGAGAAAGGATGACCAAGGAGCAGTATTTAGCAATGTGTACCTTTCACACAAGCTGACAGGAACTTGTGCAGGTCTCACACAGTCTGCTGTAGTAGTTAGCATAGTTTATCCAGGTGAAAATTTTTATCATCCTCCAACATATTTCCAAAAAAAGGGCCATATCTTCACAAAGTAAAACTCGTAGAAAACCATAAGTTTCTGATGTTAGCTACATTTAACACAGGGATGCAGGTTTTGCAGTGTCATCTGCCACCAAAGAGGGACAGGGGCCATGGCTCAGTGGCAAAGAGTCTGCTTTGTATGCATAGGGTCTCAGGTTAAATCCCCAGTGTCTCCACTTAAAAGGATCAGGAAGTAGGTGATGTGAAAGACCTGAGACCTTGGAGAACTGTTGCCAGTTAGACAATATTGGCCTTGACAGATCAATGCAAATCAAAGCAGTTTTGTGTGTTCAAGGAATGAGGTAGTGACTGGAGATGGAAAAATATATTAGTAGCTAAAGTCTTAGGTATGTTCTCCACTCACTTAGAAAAGTCAGCTATACCAATGAAGGTTTGAGCTAGAATTCCTTCAAGACTTGGAGTCGTCTGTAGAATTACAGTCTTCTCCAGGGTTTCCAATAGCTGAGCCAAGGCACGTTTGGTTAACACTGTGCTGGCACAGGGAGAGTATGAAAGAAGAACACATTAATTCTGCATTATTGAAGCACAGAATACCTAGATGGCTCTGGATTATGAGAAATACCCTAAGCAAAACAGGATTGCACTTACCTGTAACCGTTGTTCACCGAATGGTCTTCTGTGCAGCCACACATGGGCACTGCACTTGTGCAGGCCAGCTGCGGGAAAAGCTACCAAGCTTTTATAAGAATTTTCTAGAGCCTAAGGGTGCTCCCCCTCCCCTCTGCCCTCAGTGTATCCTTTTTCCCACCCAAAGGATCACGTGACGGAGACAGCTTCCCTCAGTTCCCCCTTTGCCGCTATGAGGAGCTAGAGACCATAGTAGATCAGCCCACAGTGGGTAAAGAAGGGAGGGATGTGTGCCTGAACAGAAGACCACTTGATGAACAACAGTTACAGGTGAGTGCAACCCCATTTTCATCATTGTGGTTTCTCTGCAGTCCCACATGGGAGAATAGCAAGCTCATCTACCAAGGAGACAGGTGTAGGCTGATTAGTGAAAGACAGACTGTAGGACCGCTTTCCCAACAGCTGCCTTATTCCGAGCATCCACGTCCATAGAACACTGACAAACAAACGTGGATGGTGTGAACCAAGTGGCTGCTTTGTAGACATTGTTGACGGACAGCTGGGACAAGAAAGCCACTGGCAAGGCTTGCGCTCTGGTGGAACGGGCCTTCAGTTTGATGAGGCAAGGCAAAGCTGCTTCCGTATAGGCTGTTTTGATAGCGGCCATTACCCACCTGGACACTGATTGGGATGCTGCTGTTTTCCCCTATTTTGACCCTTAAAAAAACCAGTTTCCTATCCTATCTAAACTCCTTTGTTTGTTTTAAATAAAAAAAGGATTGCCTGCCTGACATCCAATGTGTTTAGTGTTTGTTCAGCAGTGGAGGTCAGGGATGGGGGAAAAAACTGGAAGGGCTATAACCTGATTGATATGAAACCTAGAGACCACTTTGGGCAAAAAATCCAGACTGGGTCTCAACACCACCTTGTGAGAGCAAGTCTAATCGCCCTTAGTTCCAGTAAGTTAATGTGCAGTTTAGATTCAGATCTAGACCAACCCCCCTGTGCCCTATGGGTACTGCAGTGAGCTCCCCACCCCATTAGAGAGGCATCTGTAAAGACTTGAAAATAATGCAGCTGGGTGCCAAATGGGATGCCTACCACCAGGTTAGGTAAATGCGACTACCAGGTCAAACTCCTAACAATTACTCTGAGAATGGAGAGGCTTTTCCATTGGGAAAAGCAAATGTTGCCAGCAAAGAACCTAGAAAAGATGACAACCCTGCTGGTCCCATGAGCCCCAGTGAGGTGGGAACATCACAGGGAAGGGGAACCAGGAGGGCTGCTGGAAAGTTTGCTGAGGGGGTTGTTGTTCCTGACCCCTTGGAGGCTCTGTCTGATGCAGTGGGACCTTGAAAACATCTTGGAATCGGAGAGAGACATACTACTCAAAGTGGGAAATGTCAGCACTAAAGTGATTCTGAATGTTGATCGGTCACTGCTGAGGCTCGGCTCCAAGGTGAATCAGTGACTTGACCTTGAGGGGAAGATTTAACTTCTGCTGGAGGTGATAGTGAATTCTAATGCAGAGGAGATGGAGTCTTATGATGCCAAGGCGAGGAAGGTCAATATCGAGGTGAAGGCAACAAACGTCTTGGTGTTTAGTCATCTTCTTTGATGGCAGCTCTGATGCCGAGGCGATGGAGGAGGCCCTCAGTCTTTTTTCAGGCTGTGCCCATTTTTCCACCTGGGGGTCCAGGGCACCCAAAGCCTTCTCCGGCTTTCAGTGTCAAACAGTGGCAGGCTGGGCACATGACTGTGTTGTGCCCTTCACCCAAACAGAGTAGACACAACCTATGCTTGTCGTTCTGAGCCATTTTGACTCCACATTTTTTGAATAAAGCCATTGTGGCCTTCTGTACTCACAAAAGTTAGAAGAATGTGCTCTCCTCATGGCAGCAAGGAAAGAACTGAAGGAAGAGTGCTTGCCCCGCCTCTGTCACATGATCCTTTGAGCAGGAAAAAGCATACACTGAGGGAGGAGGGGACGGGGAGCACTCTTAGGCGCTAGAAAAATCTTATAAAAGCTTGGTAGCTCTTCTTGTGGCTGGCCTGCGACTGCCCAGTCCCATGTGTGCCTGCACAGAAGCCACCATGATGAATAAGATGTTATCAGCTCCACGAACACATGGTTGAAGTTACGATACATGGTGCTGTTCTCATGCCCAATCTGTCCCACATGCTCAAAGTACTTAGTAAGGCTATGATGGTTCCAGAACATGAGCAAGGGGAGAGAGCTAGTGCCTAGAACTTTATAAAATGCCTTGGTCATATACACTTCCATGAGTGAAATAGCAAGAGACTACCACAGAGAAAGATAAGCACCCTTAAAATTGATATTTTCAATTTAAATTTGTAGGATTTGATGTTTTGTGGACTAACTCTATGTTCAATTATGTTCAACTTGAGCATTTCGTTCTGGAACTCTCTTAAGTATTAATAAAGATATATTTCCCAAGTTCATACATCTTTCTGTGACTGGCATAACCTAAAACAATCACACAATAACCTGAATGAAGTCATTTGCACTCACCCCCTTTTCAATGCTTCCAGTCTGGCAAAGGGTACCTTCAGCTGCTGGAATACTGTTGGTAACACAGCGGTTACTTTTGCTTAGACACCAAAGCTCTCTACACACTTCCTGGGAAAGAAGGCAAAAGCGAGTTGTTCAGAATAACTGAATGAAATTTAACTAAATGTGCCTTAAAACACACTCATTGACATATATTTGTCCCAAAAGTACAAGAAGCATCTCTTTATAGGTATATAAAACCAACATGAAATATGTTTCGTATTATTATTATGATTATGTAGAATGATTTCACATTTGCTTGTTTTAACACCAAGTTAACTTATTTTCTAAACTCCTGGTTTGAATGAGCCTATAAACCAACTGTCTGAACGATTTACCATAAACCTGATTAACCATTTACTCATGCTGGGCTCTTTGCAGACAGTTCATCACGGTATGGTAGTGATCTTGTTTGGTGGCAAAATGCAGATGATCAATTTAGCATATGGAAAAATGGGTTAGAAAGAAGTACCCGGGATCTCGGACATTCTACCAGCAGTCTGAAGCTATCGACATACCTCTTGAATTGGGTACAAAGATAGCTTTTCTTGAGTGAGATTACTTGTATGCTTCTAATGTAGATACTTCAGAAGAGCAGAAAACTCCCAGTTTCTGGAAAACGGGAATGGCAGTGAACTTGCATTCTCCCTGGACAGGCTGAGGGGGCTACTTTAGCACCTTGTATGTGGCAACACCCACTCCCACTAGTCCGGCTTCCACCACTAGACTGAGAGTTGATTACATCCTCTAGGACTCCATGGCACTTGCTTTCAGTATTAAGAGATTAAGAATATTTTCACTAGCTGCTGGTTTCCTCAGAACAAAATCACTCCTGATAACAACGGGATAGAATAGCTAGTATAGTATTAATAACGTGAGTCCCACAGCATTGCGCAAAGAAAGCGAAACATCCCTCTTTCATAACACATTGCTGGGGAAGGGAAAATGTTCTGCAGGGTTTGCACCGTGTCAGAATCATTCTTACTGACCTTTTGCAGCAGACTTTCTCCAGGCAGTTTAGAAGGACTGCAGAATCTTGACACACTAACAAAATCGGGGAGGGGGGGAAAATAGAACTGCCCCTGAGAATAATCACTTTCCATTGTGGTTCCAGCAATAAACCTATGCAAACTACTGTGAAAACCTGTTAGCATGGTCAGTCAACCTGGAATAACATCTGAACCTCTCATCTGATTGCACAGTCAAAAGCATTGAAAGGAAGTCAGTATCACATGATAATATCAGAGGCTAACAACAAATACTACCACCTTTTTCTTGGCAGGCCTATTGTGCCTTTAGCAATTTAAAAAGCAGAAATTAACCCAGAAATGGAAAGTATTTTCTGTTGCACTTCTGCATATCACACATCTATCAAAAGGCACAGCAGCTCTATCACAAAAAGGTGGTAACTTTATCTTGACTCAGGTCTTTTATCCCAGGATAAGTGATCATTTCAACTACAGCAAGGTTTACATCACTAACTGAGGGAGATCACAGTTCCACAAAGGAAAAATTAGTGACATGTGAGTCATTTCAGGTAGTCAAGAAATATGAGTTTCTTGTTCAAGTATGTTAGGAGAGCAATTTGGGTAATACCTTTGAGACTGAATACAGATTATATAAACAAGTCCTAAATTGTCTCCAGTGAAGTGGTGATGAGTACATACTGCCACAGTATTGCAGCTGGTGCCTGGTGAAACATAGAACCAAACACCATTTTCCACCAACAGAAAGCACTTTTATCAGCAAAATGGAACTTTCCTGACTCCTCCACCCTGCTGATTGAAATACTGCTCCTGGGGAAAATGGACCTTTAGGAATAGCCTGATGGTAAATTAGGGTCTGCAATGAGGGGCAAATTGACCAAAATTGCCTTCACCCTTTCTGCTCCTGGAAAATTACATTGGGATCTAACCCATAATGTGCACCATACTATTAAAAGAACTCTTTACAGTTGCTGATGTAGGCATACTTCTTTTCCATTCTTTTGCATAATGTACATCAGAATACAATTAAAAACAACAACACGATATTCAGAGCATAATTTCCATCCCATCATTCCTTCAGAGAGCTTGGTTTGGTACTTATGATTCCCAGGAGATTACCTTATCTTGACCAAACCCATCATGTATTTTGAATGTTCTCCAGTTATTAAAAGGTACAGTGACTTTTTAGGTTTTGTTAGATAATGAAATGTTATCTGCCCATATCTGTTTTAGCTACTAGCTTAACTTTCAGTGTAACCCTAAACAGAGCCACATTTTTATAAGGCCATTTACTTCAATGTATTTAGAAAGTGTGCCTCTGTTCAGACTTCAGTCTTATTCATGCTTTCCTGGAAGTAATGACCTTTAAATATAGTAGGGCTTATTTATGAATAGATATTCCTAAAATTGTGCTGTAAAGATGGAAGTCTAGATGATCTAATGAATTATACTTTATTGCTGGAACAAGTAGGGAACTTTTGGGAGACCGGAAAGCACATTCTAGACGTATGGTCATATCAGCCATTTTCTTTAAATTTGCAAATATTATTGGGATCTGCTGTGGCTCAGGGACAAAACATACATGCTGAAAGATCTGTGATGAGGCCTTCCCATTGTTTTAAATGGGATAATAGCTAATGTAGAATGGGGGAGGAAAAGGTGCTCAAAGTTTCACAATCAAAACTAACCCACCAATCAAAACTCACTCTCTACAAGCACTGTTACTGTCCTTTAAGGAAACAAATATAGGCAGGACCTGTCTTTTTTCCTTTTTGTAGATAATAACAGTGTAATGGGAGGGATTGGTTTTGGTTAGTGAAACTGCAGTTAAGTTAGTCTCTCCCTCCCTGTCTGAATCAGGACTGTGAAGCAGCTATTAACTCTTTAAAAATGAAAGAAAGATCCAATCTCAGCAATACGTCTATTTAGGACCTCAGTTAACACCTTTCTGCTGGGTTCTGTTCTCCAATCTGAGTTTCTTCCAAACCGAATACAAATGGTAATATTATATTGCCTTGTGGCACGTGTACTGCACTGGACTATCAAAAGTAGTACTTTTGGATAGTCCAAAGAACCATTTTTTCCTCTTCCATACCTTTGCTTCACCTTCTTTCACCCTCAGCTGTCTCCTTCCTTCATACATCAAATTACTTGTTCAACTTGAGGGGTTAGACACAATTGCAGAGCCTGGATCAAAACTATTTTCATCCTATGGATCAACATCTCCATCGACTAGCTTATTCTCTTCTTGAAAATGTGTGCCATTTCCTGTGTTATAATATGCTGGCTTAGGAAGTCTAGTGAGACAGATTCTGTAACTGGAATTTACTGTGCTGATACTGTAAACTGGATTGTTTATTAGCTAATCACCTGGTATATAACAGGGTACAATAAGCATAAACAAACATGCAAATTCACTTTTATGCCTCAAGTCACTCGTTTTTCTAAAGTTTTTTTCTTGCTCCATTATAATAAACATCTTGGATATTTACTGGCTCAGTATTGTTGAGTAGGGTTCCCAAGTCGGATCGGCGTCAGAGCGGGGACTCCAGTGCTGCTCTGGGAGTGCATGCGCACGTGCAAAGCGCGCGTGCAAAGCGCGCGCCGGAACCCCATCACCCGGAAGTGACGCGACCATGCCAGGCACGCTGGGGGCGGGGCCACAACCATCCGAGGGAAAACCATAGAGTTTTTCCTCGGATGACCGTGGCCCTGCCCCCAGCGTGCCTGGCGTGGTCGCGTCACTTCCGGGTGATGTGCACGTCGCGTGCTTTGGGGGTGGGGTTCCCCCAGGGCCCGATCCGCCAGCGGCGGGAAATGGGCCTCTGGGGCGGGGGTTTCCCCACCCCCCGGGGGGACTTGGCAAGCCTATTGTTGAGTCTTGAGTCTTAAATACTCAACAGTCTCAAAAAAAAAAGAAAGAAAGAAAGAAAAGAAAAAAGAGAGAGACTGAAATATTGTGAAGAGAAGCTTGGTTTCCAAGACTGTATCAAAAGCAAGAAAAGCAAAGAACACCACCAGAAAAGACACTTGGAAATCTTGGACTTCTAAAAACATTGTGCCTTTCAAGATTAATCTGAAACAGGAACCTTAAAATATGATTCCATACTGATTTTTATAAATTGGAACTAAGCATCCTAAAGTGGCTAATTTTGGTTTTCATTGAGATTTGGAGTCTGCGATCAGCTTTATTGTAATCTCTTTAATTTACTTTTTGAAATGGAAACCTTATATAAAGCTCACATCACTACCATTTTCTCTTGTCAGGGATAATGTGAGTTACAGGGGAGGTCAAGGTTCAGTTCTCTTGACCCTGAGACACCATATAGTGGGTAAAAAAGAGACTTCCTCAAATGAGGGTTTAAGGCCTATTTGATCCCACAAGGGTGAAACTGGCAACATCTTGGGGTCTGACTAGGGTTGCCAAATGAATTTTGGCCGGGAGCGGGGGGCTCCCGGCCGGCGTCTAACCCGTCCGTGCGTCACCCAGAAGTGACGTCGCACGCTGGGGGCGGGGCCACGCCATTTCCGGGTGACGCGCGGGCAGGCGTGGGGTTTCCCCCGGGCCCGATTCTGCGTGGGGCGGAAATCGGGCCTTGAAAGTGGGGGGGAAATCCGCCCCCCGGGGGGATTTGGGAACCCTAGGTCTGACTGACTCACTCATCTAAAGGTAGAGTGCAGCAGCAGTGACTTAGAAAGGCCTCCCTCAACACAAAGCTGTGGTTTGATGATCCACAAGCTGTTGCAATTTTATGAGGTGTATCTTCCAGGGCAATAGATACTATATAGGTGCCACGTCCCTCAGTTCAGACCTTCACTGAGGAGCACATTTATTTGGTACTGGTGCTTTTCAGACACTTAATCAGCAGAAATACCTTGTGCTGGAAGAAAACACTCTGTAGTGAAGGTCCAGTTCCACAACAGGACAGTGTTGCACAAATGGAAGCAAGGTATAGAACTGAGGTCATATTCTGACAGCCTAACTGGCCTGTATTTGGCTATCCACCTTCTTTGAGCTCCACAGCAGTTATAAAACTGCAATGGACAAAGAGGAGCAAAGTGGAAGCAAGATACAAGATTCAT